TGGTAAGTGTCGTAAACAGAATGTGTATGCTTAATTTTGTCATCGTTTTTCACGACAAAAGACGTCACTTGTGAAAATGGGCTATCGTATTTATTAAAATCTCGACGGCAATTCTTCAAATCCTTGTTTTTGTTTTCTTCAGACTCTATTTGTCGGTATCGTTCTAGATCCCATTGCGTTGCTATCCTGCGGATTTCGCTAATAAGCAGTTTTCGACTGCGAAAAAGAACCCATCATAAGCACTTTCTTCCGCAACCTACGCTATACTAGCTCTCAGATGATTGAAGACCATTTTATTGTTGAAAAGAAATTGTTCAGAAATTTCGTTTTTACTAATTAATGTGCTCTGCAAAGTGCTTTCTACTCAGTTGTGAAGGTAGTCTATCGAGAACGGGCTCGTTATACACATAAACCTTTGAATAATTTCATCGTGTACAAAAGGACGGAACCATGCTGCCCTTGATAACTTCATTTTTTGTTAACAAGGATTAGCTGGTCTTTGTGTGATCCGTGTCATTTAGGGATTGTTATGTCCAGCTGATGTTCTTTCTTTTCTGGGAGTTCCTGGAAGTGTAACTGGAAGAAATACCTTTTGAAATAAAATCGCAACAAAACCACCATTTTCATTACAATGTCTAGTCTCATGTTCAGTTTTTACGCTTATTGTAACTCATCTTATTCCTGCGTTTAGGTTGACCAGCAATCTTGTAGAATAATTCGCGTTTTGGACGAGTTTTTCCATTAAAATTTATACTTCTAGTGTCCATCTGTTGCTTCCATCATGAGCAGCAGTTGATTAGTAATTTTTTGGCGCGAAGATGAAAGTGCAGCAAGTTGAAAACAGAATTTCGTGGAAGTCGACGGGTGAACAACGGATGTACGCGGGACAAAACCCACTGTCGACCTTTTGTCTTATAATCCCTCTTCTTAAAATGACTAGGGTTTTGTCCTTTAGCTTCCAAATTAAAATTCTATTGTAATTCTCGTGTAGGGCGAACACATACTTGAAACGTGCAGCGCCTCTGAGCAAGGCATAAAGATGTGGCTTAGGATGCTGTTCTTGCATAATTCGCGTACATTTGAGGAGAACCACCATGCCTGTCATGATTGCATAGATATCAAACGGAAGATCGTTCTGCTTTTCATTCCTTGATTTCGGTTCCTTATCGCTAGTCTTATTCGACGTTCTAAGCGGCAGACGTACGAAGTGCAGTTCATTTAGATTTGTCAGAACCAGATTTTCCTAAAACTGCAGCCTCTATAAGCAGTGTTTTTCTCGTACCGACTCGAGAGGACGGCAGCCTAATTGCACTTGATAGAGCTTTAATTTATGGAAAGTTACACTCCTTCACAGCTTCTGCTTCTACGATGGGACTTCCAGTGTTTTCCGCAGCCCAAATTCCATTAGGTCATCGTATGATGTACGCTTTGTGAACGATAATCCCAGTTGACAGCCGTAATGAGCGTTAGGCGCCTAACTGTCGTGCTTTTAACTCACCATTGCCATATATTACTAAAGATCTGAACTACCGTTACTATCCCTTTATCCAGGAAGGGAAAGGAAAATTCTTTCAAAGAAAATCCAATTCATTTGTTTGAATTGAGCTCGAAATAATCACTGAGGAACATTTTAATCAACTGACATTCAACTATTCAATTGACAGATAAAATTATTTTCTGCAAAAACACTCAAACTGAGGAATTTCTTAGATGTAAGCTTAAGTGCCCTCATGGAACAAAAAATGAATTTTTTTGTCCTTTAGCAGAAGAATATGTTGTTTTGCCCTTTCTTTCGAGGCATGCCAAGCTTAAAGGAAAAATTATTGGCCTGCCTAGAGTTTTGTTTATTATGCAGCAAGTGTGCAGCAAACTACTAGCTGGCAATAGTTGTCGATAGAATTTTCATGTATTCAGAATTATATATTATTATTATACGTCTTTCAAGTAAAACATCTTTTCGAGAAAGTAAAGAGTGACGTACGCAGAGTTCGGAGTTTCATGGAAAATCTAAGCCATAAAGCCTATGCTTACAGCACCAACGTAATATATCAATGAATGTTTAAATTGTCTTACGCGGTTTTTCAGTATCCGCCACTTTCTGCTCCTAAAATTCGTTAATACAATTAGCAGCATAGTACTTTATTAATGTTTTTCATTCTTGCAAAAATCACATACCGGCGGCTCTTCCTCTTCAAGCTCCTCTTTTATTCCTGAATAAACAATTTTTTATGTGCAAGGAAAATTTATTTCGTTCCATACAGTATTTACAGAGGGTACATTCCATATAGCAATCTTTTCCCCAATTTTGCATGATCAACACCCTCTAATCTCATTCTCTCTGCTCAGACACAACACACGAGATTCAAAGCTTTTTTTTTACAAAAGCAAACATTATTATACTCACTTTTGAGACGTTCCTCAACGCATTCCTTGAACTTTGGATCCTCAACCCTCGTCCTACTCCATTGCCTCTGTAACGTTCACTGCTATTTCGGAAATATGTCACCATCTCCGACCCTCATTTTTGATGTGTGCAAAGTAGTCTTGAAGGTAAAACGGACATTTTCACAAGACTCGCGCAGTCCGTTTCCATTTTTGCTCGTTGCTTGTAGTGATAAATTTCGCTCTTTATTTACAAAGTTATTGTAGTTTTTAACGTTGCTTCAATGTGTAGTGCGCATGAGA